ACAGACAGACAGACAGACAGACAGACAGACAGACAGACAGACAGACAGACAGACAGACAGACAGACAGACAGACAGACAGACAGGATAACTGCAAAGATTCCCACTGTGTATGTGTTGCATACAGGAGTCAAAAAATGATGATGATTCAGGTCAACAACACAAAATAAATATTTATTTTATGGTCCAAGTTGACCATAGTCGGGCCATGATGTAATTTAAAACCCTTTTCATTTGAGTTACAATACCATTCATCTTTTTCCATTAGGACAAAGTCAACAAACCTGCCCTTCCAACAGTCTGGAATCCCTTGTCACGCAAATAGGAATTTATCTCAACGCTTACATTAAATTCATCAAACATTTGTCTGTCACAAGATTTTATTACAGTGACGCACACAACAAGGATAAAATGAAACACAGCATTACTAGTTACAAGACAAACATAGTCAGTGTCAGGAAAAAAAAAAAAAGAGAGGAAACACAAGAAATAAGTTAAATAATTTAATACTCCCAAGAATTATTGACTGAGAATAAGATCTAATAACACCTGCTTTGATTCCCACCTACAAACGTACGTGAAAAGAGTAACTTATTGAAGTCATTATGTAACTCATGAAGAGCACCCAAAAAGAACATGCAGCTATTCAGTCTGTCCAGTTGCCCTAATGCATATATAGTAATGCAGTGAAGTACCGTACTCTTGCCACTGATAATCAACAAACTTTGCCATCACAGGTATTTACATGGTTATCCATGGGTGTGCCCTAGACAGTACAATTTTATCCCCTTGCAACCAGCAACCCAACAAAGCCCATACAAACAGGTGGTATATCTAAAACAACAATTTTTTCAACAATTATTTAACAGAAAAGATCTGTTGCGATTCCTGGTTCCTGAAATAATAATGTTTCGCGTTCATCGTTTGTGCGCTTGTGCATATTGCGTGACCTGGGGGGGGGGGGGGGGTCAACAAAGTGGAAGGTAGGACATATTTTGAATTTCCAAACGTGCCGTGTCACAGTACACCGAACATAAATGTTTCCAACTCCCAACGTAAAAATTCCCTTGAAATAAGACTGCCATCATCTTTCAACTAACCCGTACCAGCCTCTGAAAATTTGATCACTATTCTGCCTAAGCAAGAATAATGAGCATGCAAAGTATCTTTGGCTATAGTGTAATATTTTCATATTTTTTGCAGGTATTTTGGGAGTTGAAAAACTATGTCACAGTCATATTCACTATGCAAAACACACACGTACCATTTCTAATTCAGTGCATTTTCTCTGAAAAATCATCTTTTTCAACTAGAAATTTGGTTTCTCAGCTGTCTTAAATAGTTCTTCTAGCTGCCCTAGTTTGTACCCACGCACACTCACTCCGCTATCTTCAAAAACATGACGCTGACTTCTTCCGGGGGTTGCATGTCTGCCAGTGTTCTTTGGATTTTTGTCCTACCCTCTCCCCTTGCTAGGTAGGTTACGTATATGCAAACAGAATTGCATCACGTCTGACGGTAATTCGAGAATGAAGAATTACATTGTAATTTGAATGAGGAACATGATAAACTTCTTTTCAGTTGGCAGAAAAAAAAAGAATAATAAAAAATGATAAATATAATGATGCCGAAAATTGTGCGATCAATATTTAAGTTGATTGCATTATTAGGCACCACTCACTCGAAAGTAAAATGTTTGTGTGTTGGTTTTCTAAAAAATCTAGGCGACTAATACACCTT